AAACTAGGGCAAAATTTCACTAAGTTAAAAGTTTCATGGACTCTTGTTCCAAAAATCATAACTTGATATCCAAGCATCTTTTGGGAAAACTTTGTGAATCAAAGTTGTAGATTTTATGGAGGACTACAACTTTCATGTTGGAAGTTTTGCTTGAATCCAATTTCATCATGGTGAAAAAGTTGGGCAAAGTTGGGAAAAAATAAGAAAATTTCATAACTTAGAAAAATTCTAAGTTATGAAATTTTTTCAATTTTAAACCCTAATTTGCAAAATTAGGTTTCTTGATGAACAAGTTTCATGTTTTGACACATCTCTATGAAAAATGACCCTTGGCCCTTGATTTTGACCAAAAAGTCAAAGTTTGACTTTTCAGTGTACAGTTGATTTTTGATCAATTGACTGGAAAATTCATCTGTCAATCTAATGTAATTGAGATCTTTTGAACCTTGTGAATAGGCAATATGACACAATTGAGTCCTTGAATCCATGCTTGAACCCAATTTGCCATTGGCTAGGTGAAAAGTCAGAAATTGCCCTTCTGTAGTCAAAACCCTAAAAATGACCATTTTGCCCTTTTGATGATCTGATCAAATTTCTTGAGGAGTTATGGTCCAAACTTGATCAAATGGTTCATATGAGCTTATAATGTTGATATGGATCAAAATTTATGATGTTTGACTGTAAATTGGCCACAATTGACTTTTTCCTCAATACAGCTGATTTTTAGGTCAACTGTCCAATTGACTGGGCAAAAGTTTGATTTAAGGCCTGAAACTTGGTATGAGCAATCTTATAAGTCCAAAATGAAGCATGAAAGTCACATTGAGCATTAAAAGTCCAAAAATCTTTGTGCAAACTCAAAGCCTAATTTCAGGTCAACAGTGCAAGGAGATGTCTTGAGCAGAGCAAACCCTAGCTTGGTCTTGAGTTCAAAGAGTCTTGTGAGGGGAAATCTTGATAAAATGAGAGGGCAAATTTTGGGGTACAACACAACCCTACCCAGGTTCCTTCTCATACATTTCTAGATGAAGTTTTACACGGACTCATCATGAAGTAATCCTACCCAGGTTCCTTCTCTTAAATTCCAGATGAAGTTTTACACAGACTCATCCTGAAGCAACCCTACCCAGGTTCCTTCTCATTTCCAGATGAAGTTTTACACGGACTCGTCCTGAAGTAACCCTACGTAGGTTCCTCCTCTTTGCAAGATAAAGTTTTACACGGACTCATCATGAAGCAACCCTACACAGGTTCCTCCTCTTTCCAAGATGAAGTTTTACACGGACTCATCCTGAAGCAACCCTACACAGGTTCCTCCTCTTTCTAAGATGAAGTTTTACACTGACTCATCATGAAGTAACTCTACCCAAGTTCCTTCTCATTTCCAGATGAAGTTTTACACGGGCTCATCATGAAGCAACCCTACCCAGGTTCCTTCTCATACATTTCCAGATGAAGTTTTACACGGACTCATCTTGAAGTAACCCTACCCAGGTTCCTTCTCTTAAATTCCAGATGAAGTTTTACACTGACTCATCCTGAAGCAGTCCTACACAGGCCCATCACAAATAAACAATCAAAGACCTCAACTGGTTCAGTTTAAATCTCTCAACGGTTTATCCTGATTCTTTCTGGTAGACATTTTCTCTAGTTCAGATAAATCGCTCCAAAGATTTATTCTGATTTCTTCTCCAGTTGAAGTCAGAATTTAGACTTAGTCTAATGCCTGTCAATAATGACTCTGGATGGAATCTATAAGCCCATATCCAACAACTATCCATCATTTCTCCAAATGGAATCTTTAAGCCCATTCCATACACAATCAACCATAACATCATCAAGTGCAAATTTCCGGGCACTCTAGTGTTCAATCATCTTCCACCTTCAAGTCACGAATGACAGATTTGCCCATCTAACTCTTCAGGTGTAAGAAGATTGAACATGAGCAGTTGTTGTACCCTAAAATTTTCCCTCTCAATTCTCAAGGCTTTTCTCACAAAGATTCTCAGAATTTAAGCTTGCACAAGTGCATTGGGATTTTCCAGTACCAAGATTAAAAGGAAACTGTCAAAAAGGGAGAAAACAGATAAAAATAACATTTTGACAAATTTGGAGAAAAATAGGCCTCCTTCGATTTAGCCCCCTCCAATTGGACTTTTCACCTCCTTCAATTGCTCAAAATTAGATGCATGCAAGCCTGCTTCGATTTGGACAAGTTTACTGCTTGCAAGCCCGCTTCGATTGGACAAGTTTGCTGCCTGCATACTTGCTTCGTTTGGACAAGTTTCGATGGGACAAACTAACCATATCTATGCATCCTTCGAATCCACTTGCACCAAGGGCCTCTTGCAGACTTTGCTTCATACAAGCTTCGTTTGAGCCAAGAGGTATCTTCATAGAAGATTTAACTAAGTTCTTGCTTCCCTTGAAAGAGCGCCCTTCGATTGAGAAGCTAAGAACTTCCCTCATGCTAAACAGACACAAGGCAATGACTCCCTTTATGTTTGTTTCGATCCACATGCTTCGATTGGGTAATATGCTTCCTTCAAACACGAGCTTTTGATTGGGAAATGTGTTTGCTTCAATCCAAGCTTCAAATGGGCATTAACTTCCTTCGAGTAAGCTTGTTTCGACCACAAGCTTCGACTGAGGCAAAGGCTTCCTTCAAACAAGTGTGCTTCGATCTCATTCTTGCATTCGACTCAAGACCAAATCTCATTTGCCAGGCTATGTTGCTTCCAAATCTTTACATAATCATAGGCTTACACAAATTTGTGATACATTACACAAAGATTCGAAGGTTTATCAACTGGATAATACCATTCCGGGAAGAAATGGCAAAGGACCGTGTACCCTTTCTTCATAAAAGGTACTTTAGTCACAAAATCATCTTTTAACCTGATTTTGGTCTGAGCACAAGCAAGGCCAGAAGAATAAGTCACATCTTCTGCACCCCAACTGCCAACAGGCCCCCTACTTGTACCTTTCTTCGTTTCATATTTTATTATTTTGCAAGGCTGGCTACTTCAACATGTCCATTCTTTTCTCTATAAATATAGGAATTTTTGCAAAGCTAAAGAGAGGATTTTTTGACCAGAGGAACGAAACCTCCAAAATCTTCTCAAACACAACAAAAACTCTTAAGTCCTTAAACACTTGTGAAGAACAAACCCAGAATCACACACTCACCTCTTTCGATTATGAAGAACTCCCCACACTTTAGTCTCCTTCGAATCCAGTTGGAAAGAAACATAACACTTGTTTCTTTCTTCCTTCGAATCCAGTATCCAAGGCCTAGCTTCTGGACCCTCCCTTCTAATCCAGGAGAACCCAGAGCCACCACTCAAGGCCCAGTTCACATTCAAGGTTGAAGCAAGGTAAGTCACTCTTACCCTTGAACCTTTCATTTCATGGCATAACATGTGAGTAACTTTCTCTTTCGTTTGAAACATGTACGTAATACTTTTTTCTTTTCGTTTCCACTCTCTTAATATATTTTCAGAACTAACCCTTTCGTTTGCTTCTTGTTTACCTAAACATGCTTTAAGTATTAAACTGTTTGTAAGACAAATACTAGCATGGCCTTAGGCCATGTTGCCATTTAATATCTCAAACGAAAGAAACATGGGGAATGAAGTATAAAACGAAGCCTTGGGCTCCCATAATAACTTCCAGGCCCAGCCAGAATGCATGCTCATGTTGATTACAGTTCTAGTTGAGGGAGGCTGAGAAGACAGAATCGAAGGCCATGACTTGCTGATGCAGCCCCAATCGAAGAAGGCAACAAGGCAGAAAGGTAGAACCAGAAGGCGCACCCTGTTGACTGCCAATCCCAATCTAAGGCCATGACTTGACTGGTTCCAACTCCCAATCGAAGGCCATGACCTTGCTGTTGCCAGCCCCAATTGAAGGAGGCCAACAGAAGCAGAATCGAAGGCTGCTTCCCCCCTAATCGAAGGAGCTCTTTTGTTACTTCTTTTTATTTTATTTTTTTCCTTTACATTTTTCTTGCCTTTCAATATGGTTGTAATAGTGTATGATTTCTATTTTCTACATTTTTATTGCTTTATACAGATGCTAGTAAATAGGATGTATGGCAATATAAAATCAACAAGTAGACCACCAAAAATCAAAGATAAAATGCATACAATCAAACACACTTTGCACACATACACCCTATAGGTAATCTCAATTGTTGACTCGGAAAAGTAGTCATGTCCTCGAACATGGGCGTTTTAGCAAAGACCCTTGATAAAAGATCTTAGTCCCTCGATGACCCTCGATGTTGCCTTCGGTAAACAATCTAGCCCCTAAAACGATATTGCTAAAACGTCCCATAGGTTGCCTTCTATGACTATACAAACGTCCCATGCCCGTCCCTTCACATCCAACGATGGGGCTTCTTACCAAAACAATGGTAAGATAGTAACATCTAAAGGAGGAGGAAAATAACATATAAAGACTTTTGAGTAGGTAGATTGCTCCTAGTATCTCCCTTGCTCACAACAAAAATATTTTATACAACAACACTTTCAAAAACACTTTCAAAAAATTTTCCAAACATGAAACATTTTCAAAAGATCAACACTTTGTATATGTTCTTACGAATGAGAACTATTACAAAGTTTGCCTAAACGATGGCGCCGTTTCAAAATACTTTCAAAAACCACACAAAGCATATTTTCAAACAAAGCAAGTGATATAGAAAGCAACTAAGAGCCCGTAGATAACTACAGATGGAAAGGGTTCTAATACCTTCCCTTTTTATAATCTACCCCCCGAACTCATAAATAATCTCAAAGGTCTTTCCTGTTCTTTTCAGCCTTTCCTTTTGGATAAAAGAAAAGTCGGTGGCGACTCTTGCTATCCGCCACAATTGCAATCAAATGCAAAACACCCAAGTCAGTTCTCCCACCGTATCACACCCTTCTTTATAATTTGACTAATTCTTCTTCGTTTGGCAGAATTTACGCTCCCTCTAATGTTGTAAGTTCCAATAATCATGGAATCATTGTGTTGTTCTCCCTTACTTCTTCCTTGTTCTTCCGCTCCCTAGCTTCCATATAACGTATTATACTCTCGAAAAATTCATCATCTTCATCTCCATCGACACCCATATCCTTGATTGAATTCCACACCCTTGTTGGTACACTATCTATCACCCTCACAACTCTACGATTTCCTTTGTTAACATTAGTGTCGCTAATAGACTCACAAACAAAAAATGAGCCTTTTTCATCACTTGAACGAGTCACAATTTGGGGTTCCTCATCCTCCGCCATCATAGAATTGGTTCTCATAATGACTTTTGGATTAATTTAGGATTGTAAAAGAGCAAATAAGTATGAGGGCACACAAGGGATTTTCAAACATTCATAAATTTCCACCAACAACTTTTTTTGCTGGGCCGGTTTAGTATCAAAGGTCCTCCAGGCCCAATTGTGAAGCAATTATAGGATCCGAAGACCCAGAGTTTTGGCCCATCAAATTTGAATTTGAGTTTGGTACTACCCCCAGTGAGGCCTTTCCACCAACACTATCCACCCTTGTTGACAAAAACTTCCTATCTGGCCCATCTCCATCAGCATTTAATGTTGACCTCTCACATACGTTAACCATTCCTCCTTTTTCTGACCCCTCTTTGTTGGAACTCACATTATCTTCAATATTTTCGATATTAAAAAGGTATCGGCCACCTGTATGTATCCTCTATGATGTTTTATATTATTATCCGTACTTCTTCCTCCAGGTTCAACATGATGAGATCTATGACTATCCCTCAGGCTATTCACATCAGCAACTCTGTTCCCCCTCCTCCTCATCTCCACTCCACGCGATGTCTTGTTCATCTTCTTCCTCCGATCCTGAGTCAGCCGTGGAGTCCAGCTTCCTGTTCTCCTTTGAAATAAAAATTCCTTTCGGTCCATGCATATCCTCAACAAGTTTAATGTTGTAGATATGATCATTGACTTCCACATTGAAAGATTCTTTCAACACAATAGACTATTTTGTTCTTATTAAAAATCTTGCGACACCCATTTTTGTATGGTCCCGAGTTTCAACATCTGAACACACGTAAGTTCCCACGCAACTAGGCAGAAAATCAAAGAACTTAGGACACCATGCATGGCATTGTAAACCATAACATCTCATCCATGTCAATCTCTCATTATCCACATCTTTAGGAGACCATGGATGTATATCTTAAAACATCCAATCTCTAGCTTCTTCCACTATCGCCTTGATCTCACCTTCTTCTTGTTCTTCCAGCAAGCACAGATTGGCCCCCAAGAGGGTAAATTTTATTCTAAAATATCCTTCAGAATGAAAGGCCTCTTGGATATTGTAGGTCGTACCGGAAGTTTCAACCACCCCAACAAAGGCCTTTTCAAACCTTTCCAGCTCTGACCCCTTGACATCAAACTTCAAATGTGCAAACTTAGGTTTTTATTCTCTAGCACTCCAACCTAAAGTTTTTCTTCCCCTGTTTGTCACCTCCTTCTTTAGCACACATGCTATCGGATTCTCTCTCCAGTCCTTCACCTTCTCATTAACCACTCGAGCATATGTTCTAGAACCCCTGGCCTCTTGATTTCTAGTCACATAATTTCTTTTGTTGTTCTGCTGATATCTATGAACAAACAAATCCTTCTCTTCTCTCTTTGGAAGTTCTTCTTGTTTTCCTCTTTGGAATCTTGGGATGTTAACAAAAATCTTACGCCCTCTGATGAAGATGTTGTCTAACTTTGTTGCTAGAACTCTATCATCCGAGTCCTTTCTAAATCAAACGAAACCGTTCCTTTTGCTTCTTATGTCTCTCTTTGGAGGAATGTACACCTCGACCACTAGTCCATATTCCTTAAAAACTTCATACAACTCCTTCACACCATAGTCTTCTGGTATTTCTGTGAAGAAAAAAATTTGATACTTGATCACCATTTGGATCTTCCTTCCCCCTTCTCATCGTCCAAATTGATCCATGATTATTATTCCTACGTTTGTAGTGGTATCTAATTTCAGTTCAAACATTGTTTGTCATGGTAGTTTCGAAATCCTAGTTTGAAAAAAGTCTCAAAAGGTGGTTCATGAATGGAGTTAGAAATAAAACATGATTGATTTTAAAAGACTACAAAATAAGATAATTTGAGTTGAAGTATTGAAACTCAAATGGGTGGATATGGTAATTCAATTGATATCCACTATTTGAGTTTAATAAATGTCAAATGATATAGGATTTTATCTCTAATAATAATATTTATTTATATTTATGAATTAATGTAAATAAATTTAAAACCTCACACAAGTTTTTACAGAGATCACGATAAAATTACGCTTTTTAGTAAGCAATTACAACACAACACTAGTCAATACAAACGTCCGATGAAATTTTTCACTATTTTGGCACTTAGATATCTCTAGTGAAAAATAAATTAATAAAAGAATGATATATATAGTTTTGAAACTATACTTGATCATTGGGAGTCTTTCGTGCTCATCATTTGTGTGAGTCACATCAGGGTTATGTGGTTTCCATGACATTTCTATAGGGCATAGACTATGTGATTTATCCTCGTAATTAGTTTTTTTTTCTTTCTGAAAGCAAGGATTTTATATAAAGAGTAGTAGGGTTACTCTTTCCCACACTAGTGCAGAAATGACTTTTTACATCGGGTGAAATTGACTTTTTACATCGGTTTTGGGTCCGATGTAAAGTCAGGCGATATAGTAAATCAGGGACTTTTTACATCGGTTCTGGGACCGATGTAAAAAGTCCCTTTTTTACATCGGTTATAATATCAGAACCGATGTCATAACCTGTTATTATGCACATTTTTTAAAAAATTGATCCAGTTTTTTACATCGGTTGGAAGTAATACCCGATGTAAAAAGTCCCTTTTTTACATCGGTTATAATATATGAACCGATGTAAGAAACAATTATTATGCACATTTTTTAAAAAAATTGATCCAGTTTTTTACATCGGTTGGAAGTAATACCCGATGTAAAAAGTCCCCAGTTACGCGACTTTTTACATCGGTTATTATCCCCAACCGATGTAAAAAGTCCCTTTTTGAAAGTTTTTACATCAGTTTTTACTAATAACCGATGTAAAATGTATGAAATTTTTTTGGAATAGATTATTTATTTTCTGGATGTTTCCCTGTACAAATATAATTTGTACCCATTTTTTCATATTTTTCCAATATCACACAGACTATATTTATGTCGCTATATAGATTTCATAGCTTTCCAACATCACATATATCACATCTAGGTCGATGTTTTCATATTTTTTTATAACAAACTTACAAATTGAACAATTGTATTGCAAACTTGTATTGTATTACAACAAACAAACTTACAATTACAAATTCTTCACAAAATATACAACAATATTCAACTATTTATAAGTCTTTTTTCAAAACTTACAATTAGATATTATTCACAAAATATACAAAAATATTCAACTATTTATAAGTTTCCAAACTTAAATTACCAATATAAAATCTTCGGTAGACAACACCAAAATCACATTGCCTGACAATAAATAATAACAATTAACATCAGCAAAAAAATCAAGAAACTCAATAAATGTGCAAAAACCACAACTTATGCAATTCTATAAAACCCACCAAGATAAACTTAATTTTCATGTAACTCAAAGAAACATTTTGCCCAACGAAGTCACAAATCATACAAATCATCTTGTGTTAATTTTGTTGGGTCATCAAATACCTATAATACATAAATATAACAATATAGAGTTAATTTTTAAAAATTCATATTAAGTCGAAAAATAAAAAGTAAATAACAAAGTAAAGTTATTTTTAGTACCTGCATCCAATTCTCGGTTATATTAGCAGAGACAATATCCAACATATTTTTCATCACATAGTATCCATAATCATTAGAGTTATGTTGTTGCCTTGCCTACAATTGAATGACATAATTAGTGAATACTTATCATAAATTTAACTATATAATTACAATTTACATGACACTTACATTGGGATGAAGCCATGTAGCCTTTTTTCTATTTCCATTTGCCATTTGATGAATCCCAAAAGAACTAATACAGAAAGATAAACATCACATAGCTAAATTTACTCGCCGATGAAAAATGACATAACTATTAGTTGTCAATGAAAGTCACATGAAAGATAAACTTACTTTATAATAATTTTCTTCGTGTGATGGTCAATTTCTCGATGAAGTGAACAAAATACGACAACTAAATTGTCTCTTGGACACATGACTATTAATTGCCAATGTCTCCTGTACGTGTGTGTGGAAACAGAAAAGTCACATAAAATATATATGTTATCAAAATTAAATAATATAAAACACAATTATATATAAATACTTACCCATAAATTAATGGTAGTAAGTGGCACACTCTGTTTTCATCACGTAACTTTTGTAGTATGTAATTTTTAACATCTTCTTGAGATTTCGCTACACTATCATTATAAATACACCTAGCAGGGTCCATAAATCCATATAATTCTGAAATGGAATTCTCAAGACAAACACGATGAATATACCTGAATAATTTTAAATAAACATTACAATCAAAGTGATGAGAGATATGACATATTAATATAAATTGACTTTAATAAAACAATAAAATGTACTTACTTGCACCAAATTTGCAGAATAGACACGTCAAGCCAATGACCTAAACCCACCAATAACTCTCTGATACATTTAGCTGAAACATAGAAATTAGAGACACTCGCACAATGACTTAATTGTATTGCCAAATGGTTATCATCCATTTTCAAAACCATGAGTAACAATCTCTGAACATCATCAACTTCCACGTCTTTTGTGCTCTCTTTTGTGCTTCCCTTTGCAGCTGAACAACTTCCTTTTCCGCTTCCATCGATAATTTCCAATTTTTCAATGCATTTATTATCACCTGTGCTTTGTGATAAACCCATGGACTTAAGTGTCTCCATTAATGATTGTTGAAACATCTTACGCTCTTCAACCAACTTTTCTTCAAGTTCAGCTCTAAGTTTTGTTTCCAATATTACAAGTTGTTCATTTACGTCGATATGTTGACGTGATCTTCCAAAGTAAGTGCTTTGTTTATGGTGTTTTCCAACACCACGAACACGACCTCCATGCTCAGATGTTCCAACGGCTAATGATAAGATATCGTTACGTCCATCCGGAACAATTGCACCTTTTTCAGCTTCTTGAACTAGAGAATCCTACAAAATGCAAAAACATCAATTAATCAATCACAAATATAATGATACTTGAATATTTTTTCGTT